TTGGTGTACAAATGGAAATAGACTACAGTAGCGGCACGACCGCTTGGTGCTTGACGCATGGCTTCAGCTTCTTCGGTGGTCACCCATTTGAGAGATCCATCCAATTGTGGCACGTACCATCCACCTTCACCAGATTGCCTATCCTCATCAATGGGGATAGCCGAAACTGTAAGGTAACCAAAAGAGTTTTAAGTTGAATTTGAGGTGTTTGCTCGTTTTCGGTGCTTAAATGCTTACCTGCAGCAACAGCAAGTACTAAGATGATCAAGCCTTTCATGTTAACTCTTTAGTATACCAAATAACCAATAAGTCTGAAACGTGAACCACACTTATTTTTATACCAAAATTTCAGTCCACATTTATCTCAATAGTCATGCGAGTGTAAATTTATCTGATTCACATGTAGGCTTAATATAGAATAATATATGGCTGCGAAGATCGCTTTTAAAAAACGGTAGGGATATCTTATCAATGCGTAAATCAGTGAAGAAAAGAAGTCAATATTTTTGACATTATAAATCCACTTACATATGTAGTTTGCTTTGAAGCGCAACATACTGGCCATTATTAAACCCCTATTAAAAAGTGCCTAATATATAATTTTGATAGCATCAAATGGTTGCCAAAATATTAAAACAAAACAACAAGTCAGAAGCGCTAAGTCCGGATATAACCGAACCGAATACTATATATTTTACTATCGGAATTTGCATGAAAGGCGCAGAAAAGTCTTGACCGATGTCATTCATAGGTATTCAGTAGAAAACCTCCTTAAGTTTATGAAAACTTGTCCATTTAATTTCATTAAAATCTCACACATTTTTTCCCGATATATCCGGTATAAAATAAACCGGTAGTTCGAACATCTTTACATTAGGTATCAGAATCCTGTGTTCGAGGAAAAGTATTGACCATATTTTTATCCATTTTTGAGACAAGACTACACTACACTATAAAAAATATTTCTGTTAATTTCAATAACTTACCTCACGGATTGGTCGATTTCCTTAATAAAATATTAGCTACAGTCTTTGAAGTCCACATTCGGTGTCCAAAGGCTTGAAATGTTATAGTTTGAATTCGATCATTTTTGCACAATTTATGAAAAATTTAATTTCGCTATCACTTGGAGGGGATGACGGACAAACATATACATATATATATAGGTCTTTATCTATTTACCGAGATTTAAGTGTTACAAACAAACATTAGGTGAACAAAACTATTATACTTTATTACAACACGTTTCGGGAGTATACACAAATTGTTGATATTTTTTGCTGTTCTGAATTTAGCGATAACCAATAGAATCGCGAATGTTTTTAGTTTATGAGGAGGCACATTGCTGATATCGGTGTTCTATTATAATTTATCACCGCGAACAATATGAAATATATTTTTATATGTATTATATATCAATATATTTAAATAAATTTAAGAATGACAATTTATATAAATAGAAAGTTCTTTTATTTTCTTACGAGAAATAATAGCTCGGATCGAGTTCGCGAAATTCAAAAGTTTGTGGCGTAAGGGTTATTCAGGTGGCTAAAGCTACATATTATACATCACGTGCTACTATTTGTATGTTTACATATCAGAAAAAATGTGGAAAACATGAATTTCGGCGTATAGGTACTTGTAAAATATTTACAGCAATAATTCAATTGAGTCAACACTTCACCCTTTCGAACTTTTAGCTGATACATAAACGTTTAAAGCTGGAACAGGAACATTTCTTAATTATTTGTTTTATCATATATCACATCGTATGTTACTTATATACTATGTATATGTTCATAAGTTTACACTCACGAACAATAAAATATATTTATCATTGCACAGAAATTACGATTTATGAACGATTTGCGCCACTACTGCTTCGAGCTACGCCTTTCTTTTCGTCAGTGTTAATGTCATATGTATTTGACGTCCAAGATTGGAGGATGACATTAAATATTGGAAAAGCAAATAGCGCTCAATTTTTTTGTTTCTAGATTTAGGGAAAGTTTGATACGACTTGTTAAAGACTCTGGTTTTAACTTTGGACTGTAACGATTTTCATATGATATTTTAAACTTCTGGAAGGAGACAGAGAACCCAGCATACATGAAATTTCAACATAATTTAGTAAAATCCGCTATGAATATCAGCCATAACTACATATATACATATATTAAGGCAATACATAAAGTACTTATGATATTTTACGCAAATGTTCGCCCGGCGTATGGCTTTTTCAAGTTTGGAAACAAAAAGACGTCGCACGAGGCCAGATCTGTTAAAAACGGAAAATGGGGCGGCGGTTTTTCCTACAAATGTCCTTTTGATCCCTTCCAAAAACATGAATAAAATCCCCGAACGATTTTATACAATTTTGTAGCGAACTCCGAACAAAACCCCTTTATCAATAAGTATTTCGGATGTGAAGAAAGAACGGAAGTTAAAATTATCATTAAATGGAAGTGAACGCAGTTATGTAATGTTTCCATCCCTTTGCGTTTTCTGAATCGATATGTTTATTTTTAGATTTATTTGTAATAAAATGTTATAATTTTTTTATATTTTGTTAGGTAGAAGGATGTATACCAGGAATCACTTAGAAACAGCAAGATTAAGTTACAAAACAGCACAACTTTAGTAGAAGGAACTAAAAGGAAACAAATATAAATCAATTGGCATTGCCGCTGCCACTCTGCTGTTTATTCCATTGTCATTATTCAAACCAATCTCTTTTAACACACGTTGCACCCTGTACCGTTTTTGGCTGCGAATTTAATTTTATTAAAACAATTGCTTTCTGTTCTCTCCCTCGTTTTCCCGCTTTTCAATTGATGAAATTACTGTTGCTGTATAATTAAAAAATATTTGTCCATATGCCCTAACTAGTACCAAATACGTTAAACAAAATATTAGAACATATATTGAACATCCCCTTTCTTCACTGGTATAATCTCCGCTTACTCTGTTATAGCCGAATTAAATATCTTAGCCGAGTTTCCAAAATCATTGTTTATTATTCATTTATGGAAAATACACAACCATAAAAGCAAATTATTCGGTCCATCTATGCGTACAGTTTTGATTCGTGCAAACGTAGTACAATCTCATTTCTTCTTCAGCACGACGTGTTTGCGCTTGAAAGAACACTGCTTCCCTATGTGAGCATTTAGGACAGGCATGATCCTCAGTACGGGGCAAAGTCGGGTCAGATATCACATCCGGTACTATATGAGTAAGCTCACTGCGAGAAGATTTATAAATTTCCATTAATAATTTATCTAATTCAAAGAAATAGAAATCTTACTCAATTTCGTGCATAATTTTGTTCACGTATATGCAATTCGAATCAGCCTCCTGTTTGTAATCGCAATTTCGACAAGCGTATAGTAGCACTTTGTTTTCTTTATCTTCTTTGGGATACAACATGTTATTACTGCAAAATAAAGTAATAATTTAATGTAAGAACGTACTTGGTCCAATAATACGTACCATTCTTGGCAGAACCGTATACCTACAAATCCAGGGCCTTCCGAATTAGCGTTATCGAAAATGGACATCCTGCTTTATTTTTTATGTCAAAATTAACTTTTATTACTATTATTTAGAACTATTTTAATAAAACACTAAACAAAGTGCAATATATAAACTTCTGGACGCGGTATTTGGCAAACTTTCTATTAGAGATGTGACAAACGGTATTTTTAACAATCGATATACTATCTATCTATAATGGCAGCTTATTTATGTATTTATTATGATGTACATATGTTGCTAAAATTTAGCAGTTGTTTTTTATAATGAGCTTTTCAATATTTGCCACTATGAATAATTATACCATATATGTAAATATGTAATATCATTAGTTTTAGTCAATTGCTGTAGTTTCATTCCTTCTAAGTCACGCAACTCTTATATGATAAGATCCCGCATCTCTCATCAGCTGTTTTAAATAGTAAACAAACTTGACCGGTGTAAACTTGTAGATGGCGTGGCATATATATTAAATAATGAAATTTGCTATGATTAACGCCAATATTCTTGCTGCAATAAGTGCCGCTATAGCTGTAAGAGCTATTGTGTCACTATATTCATATTCTGGAGAAGGAAAGCCACCCATGTATGGCGATTACGAAGCACAAAGGCATTGGCAAGAAATCACAACTAACTTGGAGCCTAAATATTGGTACAAGAACACAAGTGAAAATGACCTATTATATTGGGGATTAGATTATCCCCCTTTGACAGCGTATCACAGCTATTTATTGGGTATTGTCGCCGGAAAATATAATGAAAGTTTTGTTGAATTGACCAAATCACGTGGTGTGGAATCCGATGCACACAAAACATTAATGCGTTTGAGTGTATTGTTTGCTGATGTTTTTATATATCTGCCAGCTTTGCTAGTACTTTGTAAAGTGATTTTAACTCAACAAAATAAAAAATCAATGCGCGTCTATCATATAGCAATGATTTTATATCCTGGACAAATCCTCATAGATAACGGACACTTTCAGTACAATAACATATCGCTTGGTTTATTTTTGATTGCCATAGCTGTTATATGTAAGGAAAAACATTATGTAGGCTCATTCATATACACATTAGCATTGAACTATAAACAAATGGAGCTTTATCACGCCCTCCCAATTTTTATTTATCTGCTCCGCACATGCTTTGACCAAAAAAGGTAATAAGAACAATATAAATATATGTAAACTACGAATCGTTATAATTCCTTTACCACTTTATATTACAGTTTTTCACAAAAGCTTAAAAAGTTCTTAATAATAGCCACAATTGTTGTAAGCACATTCATTTTATTATGGTTGCCGTGGCTAGGATCGTTGGACTCTATTTTGGAGGTGGTGAGACGTCTCTTTCCCATTGGACGTGGTGTGTTTGAAGATAAAGTTTCAAACTTTTGGTGTGTCGTAAATGTGGTTTACAAAATAAAGTAGGTTTTCAAATTCAATAATATTTTTCAAGATATACACACTTTAATAAGTTAAACCTCTTTCAGAAATAAAGTTTCAAATCAACAAATGGCTATGCTGTGCTTAGGTGTTACTGCTGCTTTTGTGCTCCCAATTAACGTTCATCTCTTCTTCAATAAAAGAAAAGAAACTTTCTTGTTAAGTTTGGTGAGCACCGCCATGACTTTTTACTTGTTCTCATTTCAGGTAAGCATTAATTCCAATTTATTCGAAAATTTTGACATTTATTTCAATAAATTAATCTAACTTATATTTCAAATGCTTATAGGTTCATGAAAAGTCTATACTACTTGCCGCTGCGCCCGCATTATGTTTATTAAATAGCTATCCAC